CGATTTGAAGTTAGACTTGTAATCGTAACCGTTTTGTAGATGATAATGATAAGTTTAAAAGATTTTGATTGTGTTTAATGATAAGTTTAAAAGATTTTGATTGTGTTTAATGATAAGTTTAAAAGATTCTAACTGTTTTCTAGATAATATATCATTTCCATTATTACCCTTTTAATTTATTTATTTTTTGAATCTTTTTAAATTTTAATTTTAAAAATCTTTTAATTTTATTTTTTATCACGATATGTGGTTATTGAGTTGTTCTCGCGTTTTCGTAAATCACAGGGGTTCTCGTTTGAACCCTTCCCTATATATATATATAATGTTGGGTTTATGTTAGACCATACTATTTTTGTAAGACCATCGAAATAACACTGAATTAATGATAATAAATATATATATATATATGTTATTTTGTTATGAAAGTTTAATGTTATTTCAGTGGTCTCATATGATAATAAATATATATATATGTGTATCTCTCTCTCTATATATATATATAAATAATAAGGGCATGTGAATCATCCAAAAATTAATGATTTTGAAAATATTGTTGAAAAAAACTAGTTAAATAAATAGATAAGTCACACATTATTGACGCCGATCATCTCTGCTTCTGGACAAATAATAAGGCGGAATTTACTAAATATATTTTTAATTATATTCTATTAGTTTAACATATAGAATTTGCCATGTTTTTCTCACACTATTTTACTTATAATATATATATATATATATACACACAGTCACACACACGAGGATTGAATGTTTAATGATTAAATATGTGTTTAATTTGCAGCTTTTGGATTTTAATTCAATTCTAACATTCACTTTGCTCGGTTTCGATTTAATTTCATACGTCATAATACGAGATTTCATATGATTTATTTGTAATCATGTTTTAAAATATGTAAACAAATTATTTCTAAACAATCAATTAATAAAAAAAAGGATTTAATTATTTTTATAATTGTTTATAGTGTAAATTACCATTTAAAGAATTAAATTTAATTACAATCCAAATCATATAAACCCATCTCACAAAATATTCCAAATTCTTCGAATTCCAAAACATTTTACGAAATCCAAATTGCTGAAGAGGCATTTTGTCAACCCAAATGCCCTCGAAGAGTGTTAGTATTGTCAAGTTTTGAGTCAAAACTGCAAACAACATCATATAATATGGTTTAAGAAGGGTCGTCCTGTTTTTTCCTCACGTGTACTAAAACCATAAATCATATAAATTAATTTGTAAAAAAATAAAATATAAAATTTCATATCATATTGAAAATCTTACAAATTAAAATTACAAAAATGATTATAACGACAAAATGAGAAAAATATCAAAGTGTGGCTTTCATTGATCCACCACATTCTAAAACTAAATGGCAAGTTATGATTCTAAAATGTATTAACAAGTTGGATATCATAGCTAGTCCCACATTGATAGAAAATGAAAACTGTTAGCTCCTTGTAAGTCTCAAATTGTGAACTACCAATAACTAACATTATGGTTTTAAATTGTATTCAGAATAATTGGGTCAACATATTGCCCCTCCAGGACATTACAAATGGTTCAAGAGCTGGAAACCATACTCTTATATTACATTGCTTTAGAATAGACCGGATATCTCATCTATCACATAAAATCAAAATTTAACCCAGAAAACTAAATTAATGATATTAGCATTTAATAAAAAAAAAATAAGAATAGTAAAACACGGAAATATTTGCCAAAGGCTTGAGTTGGTGCACGTCGGCCGTGTATTAATTACTAATTAGTGGATGATAAATAATAATAAAAAATATGATGACACGGCTGAATATTAATTTATTATATAATTTTTATGTAAAGCTTTTATTTGACACGTGTTTAAATATTTTTAATCATTATTTTAATAAAAAAAATCATAAATAGTATCATCGTTGACAATAATTTGTAATTGTTTTATAATAAAGTAAAAGAGTTTACATTTTTTTTATGTATTACTTCACCTATAAAATTAATACTTTTGTGTAAATGTAATATTTATACAATGTTGTTTCTTATGTAAGTATAAATCTCCGGCTAACAGACTATATGTGGTCTGTTTTTATATATATGTTTGATAGAGAAGGTATATATTTTCTAATAAGACAATATTTGTTTACTTTTCCAACCGATGTGAGATCTCATAATCCACTCCTTGCAAGAGTCCAACCTCATCGCTGACACACTAGTCTGGTTCCATGGTATGATACCATATATAACATTCAGTCAACAATATCAAATATTGTATAGAGTTACAGTTTTCTAAGACACATTTAATGCAAAAGATATCCAGTCCCTTATAAAAAAAACATTTGTTTTCCTCCCCAATCGATGTAATATTTCATAAAAATGTTCAGAACTGTTTTATGTGTACGAAAAAAACAGTTATTAACATTTTATAAATAAACAACATTGTATAATCATTGCATTTTATATGAATTATTTGTTTTGGTAAAGGAATAGACGCTTAAAAAATTAATTTTTTAGAGGTTACTTAAATATATAGGTTTGACAAATGAAAAACCAATTTAAAATAGCTTAACCAATAAATTAGTTGGTCGGGTTTTTTAATTAGTAAATTAATGATTAAATTTGTTTTATTTGTTATTAATAATATTTTATTTAACGTCATATTGTGAAAACATAAATTTAATAATGGAATGTTTTACTGGTTGATTTTTGAAGACGCCTTGTGCGTGTGTGTGTAAAGTCAAATCTTGGTTTTTCAGAAACCGGCAGTAGAAAGTCGTTGACACTTGTACGTACAGCTGGCAATAGATTATACAGTAAGTTACATATTTAGTCCCTGTGGTTGTATAAAAATTCTGAAATGGGTCCCCAAACAAAATACTTGCATCTAGAGTCACTGGAGTTTCACTTTTATTGCCGATTGAGGCCCTTCATGTAACACCATTAACGATTACTTCGTTAAATCACGAGGATTTTTGTCTTTTTACATTTTTAATTCATTTCTAATTTAAAATAATAATAAAGTTATATAGTTTATATTATATGTATATATTAAAAAAAACAGTGAAATAAGAGATATTTTAATTCTTTTATTCATTTTCATCTTTTTCTTTTATTTTTAAGAAATTAAATCATTATATATATATATATAGAGAGAGAGAGAGAGAGGTGAGTTATTATACAATCTTTTGCATTTTTATAACTAATACAACTCAATCTCAACCGTCCATTTAATTTGATGAATATGTGATTTTATAAAAGTTTTGATTGTTTCTAATATAAAATGTTGATCATAATTAATGAATTATATTCATCTTCCATAAATATTCAAATTATAATAAATAAACTCTCGTCATTTTTATTAATATCTCAATTAATTGAGTTGCATTGGTTGTACAAATGGACATGGTTGTATTTGAAATAAACCCTATATATATAATTCATTATTTAGTATAAAGTATATACATTTATTATTATTTTTAAATAGAAATGATTGAAAAATGTAAAAGAACAAATATTCTACTGGATTTAAAGGAGTAACTGTTAATAGAGTTGTAGTAAGGGACCCAATCTGTAATAAAAGAGAAACCATGATAACTATAGATGTAATTATTTTGTTTGGGGATCTAATCTATAATTTTTATATAACCATAGGGACTAAATATGTAATTTAATCTAGATTATATGGTCACCATTCCATTTCCATTTGCGATCATCATATAAACAACCTGCCAACGTGGAGTCTGTTTCCATTTCCGACTTCTAATCATCGAGTGATTCCCTCCCAACAAAACCACTCTAAAAGCACCCGTTCTTCGATTCTACACGTTGATTTGGATTTTGGATGTTTATAGGTTGAAGACAAAGAGTTGAAACGGACAGAGAATTGAGAAAAAAACGACGATTTGTATATATAATCGAGTTGTTTTTTTGTATTGCATTTGAAGAGATTCGATTCATTGCTTCTACTGGTAATTTAGTTTGCTTTAATTCAGGTTTTGATTTTGAATTTTGATGTTAATTTGGTTGACTTATTGATGATGTTTGTGTTCTTCGTTGTACAGATTTTGATGTCTGCTATGGTTATGAGCGATGCGATGGTGACGCCTGCAACGGAATCTCAGACGATCGTGACGGCTCCGACCACGGAAGTAGAGTTTGCAAAGTGCGAGTGTTGTGGATTGACGGAGGAGTGTACGCCGGCGTACATAGAGAGGATTCGAGAGAGGTATTATGGAAAATGGATATGTGGATTGTGTGGAGAGGCGGTGAAAGACGAAATTGTACGGAGCGAAAGGTTGATCACTACTGAAGAAGCTATGGCGCGTCATATGAACTTTTGCAGGAAGCCTTCGTCGTCGTCAGATCCGCCACCGAATCCGGCGGTTCATTTAATCGCGGCCATGAGACAGATTCTCCGGCGGAGTTTGGATTCGCCGACGAGATCATTGATGTCTATGCCTAACAGTCCTTTACAGAGCAGCGATGGCGTCAGACTCCGGCGATCGGAGAGTTGTTTCACGAATCTTACTCTCGATGAATCCTCGTCGTATACAGAATTGCAAGGAATTGAGAAATGATGAAGGTAAATTAAAATCATACGAAAAAAATACAAACAAACATATAGATTTGATTTATGTTGATGCAACAAGTGATTGAAAAAATATACATAAGCTTTGTTGTTTCCTTTTTGGAACGTGTTGATGCACACTTCTATGACAAATAAATGTGTTTCATCCTCTCCACATGATTTGTTTTTGCTTTTCTTTATATATATATATATATTAAAAATCATTCGTTAGGCATGAATTACCATGTATTAATACATATTACTTAAAATTTAAAATTACAAGTAAATTGTGTATAAATACTACTTATTAAAGCTTCATTTTTTGAATTCGTATAACTAACTGCAGATAAACTTAATCAAATACAAAATAAACATCTTATTTTAAATATAAAAAATTTAAAATATAATTAAGATAATCATTGAGTTCTAACAAAATCATTATCTTTATAAAATTTTATTGTTAAGACAAAAATAAATTACTTCACTAAATCGGAAAAACATTATCTCTCTCAAAACCACATAAATCGTATTACATCAATGAAAGACAAAAAATAAAACGAAACATTAAAATAAATATATATCTCGTTGCATTGTGCGATTACCCTTCTAGTATATATATTATAAAAAATTCAGATAAATTTATTAATTTTCACTTTAT